TTACATGCCGCTGAGTCGCCTCAAGGCTGTTTCTTCTGCTCCGCTCAGAGGTAAGGATCTGCTCTCGCGTTGCCCTTTCATCTCCTGCAGCTGAGGGGATTTTGCAAGCAGAGGGCAACAAACAGCGAGCTGGGGCCCCGCCCCAGGCCCGCAAGACGTACCCTTTTTGTAGGACACTTCGTGGAAGAACCTGGAATCGTTGGGCGCCTCGGGGATGGCGTTCGCGGCGGGCGACGGCGGCCCCGTCGACGACAGCGACGACAGGCTGACGTTGGCGTACGTGTTGCGCCGCGACAGCACATGGTCGGGCACGACCAGGAGGTCCTTCTCCCAGTCCTCCAGCTCCCATGACCTCCGCGACACCTCCGTGGAGCGCGTCTGTCGGATCTTGCTGCTCCGCCGCCGCCGCAGCGTGGTGAAGCTGAGCGCCCTTGAGCGCGACACCATGTCGTCGGACTTGGTCGGCGAGATCGAGAGGGACTTCATGGAGGACCACATGCCGTCCTCGGCCCGCTCGCCGTTCGCCGGCAGCGGCGTCGAGCAGTTGAGCGAATGCGACGACGTCAGCATCGGCACGGGCGAGTCGAGCGACGTGGGCGTGAGGCTCTGGCCATGGCTGGAGGCCGACGACGAGGAGCCGTCCTGCGGGACGTCCACGGGCGCCGTGCACGGGAACACGGGCTGTGTGTCCTCGGGGATGGTCGGGCTCCTCGACTCGCAGTACTCCGTGAGGCGCACCGGCGACGTGGGCGACGACAGCAGGTCAAAGTGGAACGACGAGCGAATGGTGTGGCGCAGGGTGCTGAGGGGCCGCGTCAGGTTGAGCGTGGACTTCTTGCGACGCCGGAGCGTGAGGGGGGAGCCCGCCCCCGGCAGCTGCATGGCGCCCACACTGATGTCCACCTTGGACACCATCACATCCCGTCCGAGGCAGCGCGGGGACCAGGCAGCACTGAGCTTCGCCGCCGAGGCCTGTCTGAGGCGGAGCGCGGCGCGCGGGCGGCGTGACACTCAGCCGAGGGGAGCCGCCGCGCACGGGGGGGTGGAGAGTCCAGCCGCGGGAGAGGGGGAGGCAGCCCAGCCGGGGGGAGCGCGGGGGGCGAGGACGGGGGGAGGAGCTGATAACGTGGCTTTCCTGTGCGCTGACGAAGCCCCTCGAAGGGAGGCTCATAATTCGCCGCGACGCTCCCGTCTGTCACTGTGCACGCGCGCGGGGCATTGTCTCTCGCGGTTTTTATTCACTTAAGATCTGCAAAGCTGCGGAGTAGAGAAGGCCATCACTGACCCCGAAGGACAGAAGCCAGCAGAAAAAGGATGCCGCGACAACCCCGTCGTGTGCGATTCCGCGAAAATCAGGATTCTTGATGGCGCAGGATCTCTGACATTTTGCATTTCTGTGATTCACCGACAATGGCTTATCTCTCCAATTAAGAAGAAAAATAAGGGCACACACATGCACGCACACACACACACACACACACACACATGTACAAGCATATGCACACGCTCAAGCATACGCACACCCACACTCACAAGTATACGCACACGCACACGCACAAGCACACGCACACGCACAAGCACACATCTATTTATGATCATATATATCAAGATAAATACCAATCAATAGAAAACTTCCCCTGGTATTTGGTAAACGGCATAAACTATCGGATAAAAAAACAGACGCATCAATTCATCGATACACCGATCCTCTCCCTTCGCTCGCCCAGTGTATACTGAAGCACAAGTGGATTTTCTTTAGTTCCACTTCTTGCCGCCAGGTGTCACGTTACTCGGCCCGTGAAGAAACGCATCGTCGAAACTGAGAATAAATTTTTATCTTCTGTAAACGAGAACCTATCGACGATTGACAGATAATATAAAAAGCATAATGATAATAAAATAGGTGTTACTTACGGTACTTAAATTCTTAAAAGGTCGATTAGCATAGACTCATTTAACTTGCCAGAATCTCGAGTTATGGCGCTAATTTACATAGTTAAAATCGTGTCGAGTGCGTCGTACATCTTCAGGTCATATATAAACATTTTCTTTCTTTCTTTCTAAAACATTCTCCAGCTTATTAGCTTTTAAGTTATCTTCTTCAATCACAAAAGAAATCTTTATTGCAAACATTTATCACTTGTTCGCTTTAACCCTTTCACCTAAAAATATTAATCATACGATCCCCTTTAGTTTTAATCTCTTCAACCTCTTCATCATTCCTCTACCTGTCCAATTTTCATTTCCTTATATCTCTCCTTTTTATCATACATTACGTTATTCCCCCTTCCCTTCCCCTTTCCCCTCTCCTCTATTCGCCGCCGCATATGTGAAAGAGGAAGCAGGGGTGTGGATCGTGGCCCCCCTGGGCGAGGTATGCGGATGCGGGGGGGGAAGGGAGAGGGGAGAGGGGAGAGAGGAGGAGAGGAGAGAGGGGAGAGGGGAAGGAAGAGGAGAGAGAGAGGGGGGGAGGAGAGAGGAGAGAGGAGAGAGGGGCGGAGAGGGAGAGAGAGGAGAGAGGAGAAGGGAGAGGGGAGAGGGAGAGAGGAGAGAGGACGAGAGAGGAGAGGAGAGAAGGGAGAGGGAGAGAGGAGAGGGGAGAAGGAGAGAGGAGAGGGGGAGGGAAGAGGGGGAGAGAGGAGAGAGGGGGGAGAGGAGAGGGAGAGGAAGAGGGGGGGAGAGAGAAGAGAGAGTAGAGAGGAAGAGAGGAGAGAGGGGAGGAGGGGGAGGGGAGAGTGGAGGGACAGAGGGAGAGGAGAGAGGAGGGGAGGGGGAAAAGGGGAGGGGAGAGAGGAAGAGCGGAAGGGAAGAGAAAGAAAGAGGGGAGTGGGAGACCAAGAGAGAGAGAGAGAGAGAGAGAGAGAGAGAGAGAGAGAGAGAGAGAGAGAGAGAGAGAGAGAGAGAGAGAGAGAGAGAGAGAGGAGAGAAGGAGGAGGAGAGGAGAGGAGGAGGAGGAGGAGGAGGGAGGAGAAGGAGAAGAGAGGAGAAGGAGAGGAGAGAGGAGAAGGAGAAGGAGGAGGAGGAGAAGGAGGAAAAGGGAGAGAGGAGAGACAGAGAGAAAGGAGAAACAGAGAAAGAGAGAAAGACACACAATCAGACAAAAAGAGAGTACAGAGAGAGAACGAGCGAGAGAACGAGAGACAGGGAGAAGCCAAATCCCTAACCGACCCACAGGAAAAATGATGCGTCTCCCAGATCTCCCTGAGCAATGATATCCCCGTGAGTCACAAGAGGCAAATGCAACGCTCGGGACGGCGCGGCGGCAGAGACAGAGGCGGCGGCGGCGGCGGAAGTATCAGCTCACGCATTCGAACGCGCCCGAGACGTGTGATCGAACGCAGGAGTCCGAACGCGGCCGGGGATGTTGCAGAAAGATAGTGTTTCAGCAAAAGGAGGTTTAAGATCACGTTTCAGCGCTTCAGGGTTTGGAATTCTGCTTTCGACGGAGATGGAAGTTTGAACGTCTTTTTTATAACACTGAGCTTGGTGGGTAATTCAGGAATGCCTTTGATGAACAGGGGAAGATGAGGGAGGGAGGAAGGGGGTGGGGATAGAGGGAGGGAAGAGGGGGAGGGGGAGAAGGAGAGGAGAGAGGGAGAGAGGGAGAGGGAGAAGAGAGAGAGAGGAGAGAGAGAAGAAAAAAGAGAAAAAAGACAAACATATATAAGCACAAATACACATCCATCCAAATACACAGCCATACATATGCATACATATGTAGGTAAAAGCAGACCGAAAACTAAAATGAGGTAAACACTTGTGCATATTTCACAGGAAGACGAATGTGTTCGAACACGTGCCGTGAAGCACGTGTTTGATTCCCTCAACTCAAAGAGAGAGAAAGAGAGAGAGAGCATATACATAAATAAAATGGGAAGGCAAGGCTCCATTCACTTATTCCCCAATAGTCTCCGATTCCCCTAAAGAGACAAACAAACAAACAAAATGAAAAAACCCTTTGTTCTTAGCGTAATCATCATAACAAAAGATGCCTATACTCCGCGGGTACACAAAGGTTTTCAAGTTTTCGTTAGTTGTTTGTCGAATTTTTTCCTAAGCCTACGCTCACCTGATTTACATTCAGTTATTTTACTTATTGAAAAATAACAACAAAACAAAAACTCCAAAAAATGAAAAATGTAAAATAAAAAGAAATAAAACGAATAACTTAACGAAAAGCCTTTATCTTAGAGTTGAGAGTTGTTTTTTTCTATATTTTCCAGAAAATTCTTAGTCATCAAAGCGTTTCCCGGAGAAAGGAGTTGGAAAAGAAAGGGGCGGATATTAAAAACTGGTATTAGAGAACCCCGGGTCAAAGTCACATGCTCTGAGCCCTTCCTTCCAACAGACCCTCCGTTGACGTCATGAGTCAAACAGGTGAAGATCACGAAGCGCAGCGTGACGTCATGGATTTTCTGGCTCACTACGTCATAAGAAATGGCGGGAAAAGACGTTACTTTCGTGTAGCGGAGATGGGAAAAGTACTCGGGTATATTATAAGGGTATAAACAAATATATAAGGAAAGTAGGAATTTGTAACGTTGAGAATTCTTGTGTGGTATTTTTTTCCTTACGGTCTATGAATTTTATGGCCTTGTAAAGCGTGGGAAAATTAGTTCTAATTTTCTGAAGGACAAACCGTGACCTCATAATGCACATTAGATTACACAGGAAAACAAGAGTGTTACTTTTATATGCAAATTACCGATACAACCGAAAATAAACAGACACAGACACAGACACAAAAATACACATATAAACAGACAGACAGACAGACAGACACACACACACACACACACACACACACACACACACACACAACACAGACACATAGCGCGCGGATATACGCAATAATGATATTATAATAATGAAGTTTATACAAATTCCATATTTCCGTAATTCTTGGGGATTTTTACTCTTACAGAATCAAAAAATTGCTAAATCGATGTTTATTTCCCAACAACACGACGATAATGATGGTTGATGACTGACTATAAATA